CTTGCCAGTTGATGAACAATTAACACATAATGAATTAATTGGTCAGGTAAGAATTTATTTATTAAAATCTATAACTTTATAATTTTATTAATTTTTATTTGAAATTTATATAATAAATATACCTTAAAATATAAAATTTCAAATTTCAGGTTATGGTTTTACTCCTAGCTGGATATGAGACCACTAGTAGGGCACTATCTTGGGTACTATACTTTCTTGCAAAAAATCCCAATGTTCAGGATCGTCTTCGTAAAGATGTGCTTGATGTATTAACCGATCGTAATCATCATCCAACGATTGAAGAGATTGATACTTTGAAATATTTAGATTGTGTCTTTAAGGAAACTTTGAGGATCATTCCACCTGGTATAGTCCAATATTTCTTTATATTTTAAATTAGGAATGTTATGTGGTCCAGTATTAGACTTATGAACCTGAAATAATTGGTCTACTCAGTATTAAGACTAGATCATTATGGACCGGTTTGGACTAATAAAATTTTAAGACTAGATCGTGATAGACTAGACCAATACTAGATCAAAATTGACCGGATTGGATCAGGCCGTTAATATCCCTATTTGAATTATTTTTATTTAACTTTTTTTTATTCCACCTTTTTTATTTATTAATTAAAGCGCATGTGCTCCTTCGTTGTACTTCTAAAGATGAAATCATGAACGATTACTTGATTCCAAAGGTATTTTCCTAATCACTTTATAATTCAATTTGTTTACAGTAACACAGTATATAACTTTAAAATTTTTCTTTTAGAATACTCCGTTGTTGATTCCTATCTACGCAATCCATCATGATCCCTTAATTTGGGGTGATGACGCTGACTATTTTAACCCATCTCGATGGCTTGATCCAGAAATAAAATCAAGAGTAACAAGTAGTAATTTCTTACCTTTTAGCGCTGGTCCAAGAATTTGTTTAGGAATGAAGATGGCACATTTGGAATTTAAATCTATTTTATCGGTGCTTATTAGAAATTTTGAGTTTAAATTAGTTGAAGGCTTTACCTTTAAAAAGGACTTTAAAGGTTTTTCAAAACCTGTTCCTGGACTTGATTTATGGGTTTCAAAACTGGATTATTAATTCTTTTTTTAAAATAATATCGTTTAAGGGTAGACGGTACTATTTTAAAATTACATATAAACTTAATGGCAATTTTTTTTTATATTTAATTTTATAAAACATTTTATTAAGTAAACTAAATGTTAACTATTGTTTAAATTTTGTAGAGCAGGTTTTTCTGATTCTAGTAATAGTTAATTCATTAAAATTGGTTAAAAACTCAGTATGATACGAAGTTTTAAAATTAGTTATAAAATTTTAATATTAAATTTATCTAATAGCTTTACGTAAATTGACCAATCAAAATTGATAATTTATGTAACCCAGAAAATTTTGGGTCTATCCAGAAAAATTTTGTTATATATATAAGTATATTTTTTTTATAAGATATAATAGTTCAAAATTTTACTATAATAGATCATTAATTTTATCTATATATTATAAAAATTTGATAAAAATTAATTGTAATTTGAAAAAGTTTTATTAGTGATAACTTTCAATTTTATAGTAAATTTTTAAAATCATGTATTGATCATATGAAACAAACTACCCAAGAATACCCTGTAAAATTTTGCGCAACCAATCAAATTACAAGATTAGGTGTAATATAAAAAGTATGTATTTTTTAAAAAATTGATCGTAACTCAAAATCTTATCTATGAAACCACCTTTTGTATTCTAATTAAAAAAATTCTCATCAAATTTTAATATATGCTATATCCTATTATAACTTTAACTCTAATCCTAATGTTAATGTTTTATTGATTTAAATCTTTTTATTTATTCGATTATTTATGTTTTTTATATTACACCTGATCTCAAAATCTAATTGGCTAATCTGCAGAATTTTTTGTAGTGTTCTTGGGTAGTTTATAAAACATGATTTATATACTATCTACCCTTAATTTTGTTGATTTAAAATTATATCAAATCTATTAAGAATTTTAACTTTTAAAGCAGGTTTATCAATTTAATAAAATTTTTAAAGTGTTTTAAACAATAAATAACTATTTAAAAATAGCATTTATATAAAATTTAATCCTTTAATTATATACTAATCTCAATATACATATAAATTCTGTACTAGGCTTTGTGGTACAAAATACCTAATCTGCAAATCAAATTTTAAGATTACGGTATAATGTAATATGATTAGCAAATCTCAAAGCAAATATTTATTTTGTCAAAAATTACTTATTTCTCAAAAATCTGCATAAAAAATTATCTTTAGTACTCTAACAAAAAGTTTTCTTGAGCGATTTACTATAATCACCTAATCTTTAACTTTAGTTTAAATGCTAACTCTGACTACAATAATCTTTAAAAAATTTTGTTAATTGTAAACTGTGCTACAAACCTGGCACAGAATTTATATATGTCTCAATAATACAATTTTATATATCATTATAGCATTAAAAATCATAATTATTTACTATTATTTGGCCATTATAAAATATTAATAAAATACTATATCAAGTAATTCCAAGCTTCTTGAACATAACAATACCATTATATTGATCTTTTAGATACCATTTTTAAGTACTTGAAATCAATTTTCTAATTTTTAACTATATCTTTTCTAATCTAATAAGCACTTTCAACATTATACATAGTCATAAGATTTCTATTATTGGCAGCTTTTATTAGATATTTCTTAGCCTATCCTGACTGTAAATATTTTAAAATTTGTTGGTCAAAATTTGAATTATAACTTAAAGCTTTAAATAAATAAATATATTAGTATGTTTTAAATATTTATAGTTTTAAAAATTAATATTTAAAATAATAAGTAATACCTGTATATATAATATATTACCAAACTTTAGATATCTGAATAAAATAGTTTGCAATATTTTTCTTTTACAATACAGTCTTGAATAGTTTGCAAATTTATTCTGATTCTTGTATAAAGTATTATTTTTTTAGCAATTTCTTATAGAAAAGCTTCTAAACTAAATAATATAGCTATTTCAAAAAGATATTAATAGTTGCAAATAACTATATTATAAAAAATTTACAAAATTATCTAAATTTTTAAAACTTTTAAAGCCAGCTCTAATTAGATCTTTAATTTTACTAATAATTTCTTAATTCTTTGATTCTCATATAAATATATGAAAATTATTGTTTACATCTTTTTGAAACAGCTATAATTTAAATAGATATTTATTAAAATTAGAATAATTATAATTATAAAATTTGATAATATATATATTTTAAGATTTTCATCATATATATTTATAAATTTCATATTTAACAATATATCTAATTTCTCAAGAGCTATATATCTTATATTCTCAAGATCAATATGAATATTTTTATAATATCTCTGAACTTACAACTTAAACCAAAATTAGCAATTTTGGTCTTGTAATTTCTGTTTATTAATATATTTGAATCTCTAATATCGTAGTGTAAAGTCTATGACAATATTAATATTAGCTATATATCATTTAATATAGCAACAAATTATTAATATTGAATAAAAATTTGTATATCTCTATAGCATTTATGAAAAAATTCTATAACAAATATCAATTGCAATTTCAAACCTTTAGCTTTTAATTTTAATTCAATGTATGTGACTCATATTATTTCTGTAAAGTACCATTTTGTTACCAGATAAAATTTTAAACCATCACTAGATTTTGCTATTCCATAAAGCTTAGTAATGTAATCAAAAATTCTTAATTTATTCAGAATAACTACTTGTAAACCAATTTTTTTTCAGTTTGTTCATCAATGATCTTAAAATTTTTTTTAAATGCATATTCTAAGAGGAACATATTATTTCATCTACAATGAATAGTTTTATGACTACTATAGAGTTTGATATCAAATTTTGGGTTGTAATTGTCTGAATTCATGAAAAGGGTAGAATCAATTGAGATTACAATACCTTTTCGCTGTTCCTGTTGATAATAGATATTTAATTATTTAATTTTTTTGATATCTGTTATCGATATATAAATCGTAAAATGAAGAAGATTTTTAAGGGTAAATTTTTATTAAGTTATGCATTATTTTGTTAAGTTAGTTACATGTAGAAGTCGGGACAACCAGTAACGTACAAGAATTAGCCAAAAATATTGGTGCATATTGCTCAGGTTAAGCGTGCTCTCAACAGCATTGTTTCATGTGACTATAATTGAATAAATTTGAATATCCTCAGAATTACAATAAATTATAATTACCAGAGTTTAGCATAAGCGTTAATGAAATGTATCAGTAAATTATAAAGCCAGATAAATGAAAATTTGACCTGCATTAGGGAGTATCCCATTACATTAATTCAAGCGAAACGTTAATGAAATGTATCATCAAATTATAAATGACCTACATTCCATTAAATTAAGTTAAACCAGTGCTGAATTGTATAAAAACAAGGATCTTGAAGATAATATCATAGTATTATGTTGTATTATCTTTTAGGAACCATAACAAGACGCCCATTACAAACAACGATAAGGTAAAGAATCGATTTACACCTAAATTGCTGATTATTACATAGAAAATCTTAACACTATCATATATACTTTATAGATTTAAAACAGAATATTAAGTTTGCAAAAAGTTATTTATATTAACATAATATGAGTGCTGCCAAGGGAAATGGCACCTTCATTTTTTAATTAATTATTGATTCAATAATTGATTAAAAAACGGAGGTGCACTTTTCCCTTGGCAGCACTCATATGTATACAGTATACAGTACAAGTGATTTAAAATATCACGTGTAAATACTTAACTTATCAACGAAGCCCTAATCAGAGATATAAAGCATTTTTCGACATTGGAAGCTGTTTAGGCCGACGTTTCCATAAGCCATAGCAATCTAAATTGTTTGTTCTAGCGCTCTTTTATCACACGGCACCACGCGCCCTTCTACCTCGTCGCATTTGTTGCCAACTAACAATACGGGTGATGAAGAACCCTTAATTTCTCGTATTTGTTCTCGCAAATCTTGAACTCTATGAAATGACGGTAAAGAGGATACATCATAGACTAGGAGGAATATATCTCCTTGCACCGGATGACTGTGATAACCTAAATACGATGTCTAAATTCACTGAATGATTGGCTACGCATTTCTTCAAATCCTTTTGAATCCGGAGAGACAATCAATATTAATCATACTACAAAAGACATAAAAACCTATAACGTAAGGTTATATTACCGTACCACTACCAAACGTGTCAACTATATCAAATGTACACATTTCATTATGTCTTTTGTGATATACGTCTTCAATCGTAGGTTCATGTGATTCTTTCCATTGCGAGAAAATAACAATGGCGTTGTGAGTGAGTTCATATATCAACTGTCATACCAAACATCCATACCAGGAAATTGTTGGCAGTAAAACTGTAGGATATCATAGAAATAAAGCAGAAATAAAAAATCTATTCATTTGTTCAATGATTCACTATGATAAAATATACATACCTGTATAATGAGTGCCGTCTTGCGAAATAGGGCCAATACGATAGGTGTATTAAAGATTATATCACACGGAACAATTATCCTACATATACGTAGCCTACCTTTCCAACGTTTTAGACTCCCAAGACAACTAGCTTATGTTTATGTTGCATAATTCGTATGAATTGCCAGAGTATTAGTATAGTGTATCTCGCTACCATTTTATAATAGTTAATCAGTTATCATCCCTTATATGTAACATCGATTAATATGGAAGGAGGTAGCGAGTTCCTTTTTGTGCAAAGTTTGAGAATTTTGACGTCCTTTAGCCGTCATTGATCATCAAGCCAAAGATCAATCATCATACAAATTCCTCGGTGCAAAATATTCTACCTTTGTCCCTCTTTCATTGCAAACTCTTAGGTTTGAGAAAGTTACACCGGTGTTACCATTGAAAATTTTTTAATTTTTCTGCGCCCCAACCGTGTAGAAGGTTCCAGTGCATAATAATCCTTTTTTTTCTATTATTCCTGTTATTCTTATTATTAGCTTATCTCTGTTACTTAATAGCCTTATCGCATAATTAACATTGTTATTATTACTTTCCTGTTATCCCTATATCCGTAATTATTATTATTCCATATTTAGTTAGTCTATTTTATGATTATCATTGCATTATTATTGTGATATCGCTATACCCCGGTAAATGTATAAGTATAGATCCGCACTATTCCATTTTTAGCCTATAATAGATTAGTTAACGGTATTTTCTAATTGGTTTGACTATCAATTTTCTTAATAGTCAAATAACACATTAAACGTGTCGCAGGGCAAGATGTCATGATGAGTTTAATGTAAAACATGACGCGTGTTTGTTGAAGGCGTCAAAAAGCCGAATCTTGTTATGGGAATGGTTTCAATGAATTCATTGAGGCAAGGCGTAGTTGTTATTTGTCTCAGGCGTTTAGCATTATTGAGGGATTAAGGAATCGGCATTTAAAAGGATAAATTCATGGAGGAAGGAAATACCGATGGTAACCTTGGGTAAATAGTCTGTACGATTTTTACATGTATTTAAAGACCCGTTATTTGCATGAATAAAGTTTTTTCAGATTTCGATCTACCTGATATTTGAATAAATGGTTTCTATTGTATTTTCTCTTGTATTATCACATTATCATGAATACATCTTCATGGTGTTGTTATTATTATATATCCCGATATTTCTATCATGAATATATCTTCATGATCATATTTATTTATTTATTATATCATACAATTATTACAACAACAGTTAGTCACCTATCATTGTCCCTATCTTACTCTAATTCATCTTTCGTTCACTATCGCTGATCTAAACTTGGCCCTTGCTGATGCTCTCCTGAAATTACGATAGTAACATTTGGTGCTGATTGTGTGGAAATATCCACCTATCAGTTTTCAGGACCACATGAACAATTTCGAACAACATTCTAGGAATATAGAAGAACACGACCAATATTATTATTTGTTTGGCAAAACTCCTCAAGCAATTAACTACTTAATTAGATATTATCCTGAAAACTTCTGTTCTATTTGTTATCCACCCAACTTCTCTCTCCACTGTTTCAAAGGTTTTGGCTTTGGTTTGATACTTTTCAACCGGCTTCTTTCTTTTCACAACACTCTATCTGGTGATTCGAAAAACTTGCTACTTTTGAAATTGGAAACATACCTGATCAATTATTAAGATCCTTTATCTTTAGCTTCTGATACGAAGGATGACCTGATGATTACCCCACCCTCCTAAACGAATTCCTAACTGCTTATCAAGAACTGACCATTTTAACTTAGATCCCTACAACAAAACATATGAAAATAGTTATACCTTTGCAGATGACATGAATCAAGACAACTATCATCCTCAAGCTTCTTTACTGGTTAACCCCTATGATGATAATCAACAACCGCCTATCACCCAGAATAACCAACCCAATCCTCAAAATGATTCTATGACTTTCTTGATCCACCAGATAGGAAATCTTGTTCTTCAAATATAGAATAACTCCGCTCCTCAAATCAATATCCTCGCTATTAACCTTCTAGCCCAAAATCAAGAACTCAATCTGGTGCCTTACTCTGATTTTTCCAGTAGAGAACAAGACCCAATTACTTGGTTGGAGGATGTAGAAAAAGCCTTTGAAGCTAACCAAGTTCAAGACAATTGAAAAATTCTGATTGTCATTTCTTATTTGAAAGGTATAGTGGCTACTTGGTGGATTACTGCTAGGACTATTCGACCTGCCATCAATCAATGGAATGATCTGCATTATGAAGAACAAAGTTTCTATCCTTATTTTATTGTTCAATTCTGAACTCCTTTTCTTGAAAGTAAATAGTTTGCTTAGCTGACTCAAAGGAAGCAAGGCCTACTGAGAATGTCAATTTGTATCATGTGTCCATCGAAGAACTTCTCTGACATGTAGAGTCAGGTGATCATTATTATCATAGCATCGCTAAGGCCCAGATGTTTATTAATGGCCTAAAACCTAAATTGTCTATTGCTGTTGCCCCTTTCATGCCTAACACCTTGTCTGCTACCTATAAATATGCTAAAGCATTCGAAAATTCTTTTAAGCAGAATCTCTTCTTCTATAACCCCTACCTTGTGGTCTCTCCTCAAGTTCTTCAGTATCCAAACCCCTAATCTACCCCTTTACAACCTGCAGCTGTAACCCCTAGCAACCCTCTGGTAGTAAACTCCTCTAATACAGAGAAAGTTCTTGTGTACAGCCAGGCTACTATGCTTATAACTGTACTAATCTTTCACCTTAAAATAATTTGGGTAGGTAGCTACAGGAAGAAATGCTACTCCTCTTAAACAGAACAACGGTCCTCGAAATAATCTCCTATCGGTTAATAATAATGATACTCCAATTCAAGCTCAAGGAAATAAAGCCCAGACCTTCTTGAATCTTCATTTTGATGAAAATGAATCACTGTTTCTCCCTGCTAATGAATCTGAAAGGCCTGCCAATTCTACTCGATCTAAAAGAAGACATGTTGAAGATTTGACCCTCTGAGACCTTCTTGAAGAAGAAAGGACTAGTGATCGAGAAGAGATTCAGGATAGTAATAAGGAGCCCAAGGGAAAAGTTGCTGTAGCTCTAAGTCAAAGAAGGAAATAAAAATGGCTTCTATCAGAAAAAGAAAAGCTGAAAACAACCAACCTCAAATCTCTGCTCTTATCCTTTGATACTCAATCATATCTGACATCCATGATAAACCCGCTAATATTACCTTCAGTCAACTTTTACAGGTGGTTTCTTCTTTCTGTTCAGATTTAGCCAAGAGTTTCCATAAAACAAAGGCCCCAAGAAGAGACCTGTACTTTTGTGAATCTTCAACCAACTCCCAAATCAACAGCTTTGTATTGTGATGCCATGATTCAAGATAAAGTTATTACTTTTGTCATTGATAGTAAGTCCTCCGGAAGTGTTGTTTCTTCTCACCTTCTCAGTGATCTTGGTATCAAAGTGGAAAGGCCCTCTATGGTTAATATGGTTAATATTTATAGTCAAAGCAAAAGAGCTATTGGTAAAATTTTAGATTTCCAATTTTTGGTCAGAGCCGTTGTAGTTTCTGTTGATGTAGTAGTTACAGATATGCCTTCATATCAGGCTATCATCGGAAATGACTAAAGTCAATGCCAATATGACTACAATACATCTGAAATAAGGTTCTAATAAAAAGATCAAGAAATCGTTATTTTAGTTGAATTCAAGAAGCTTCAGCATACCTCTATCCAAGACAGTCCCCTTCTAAAGTTGCTAAAATTCAGCAGGATGATGATGATGAGTTAGAAGACTCTGGAAGTGAAGAGAAAACTGAGTCTGAGTATGAAGAGGAGGAATTAGAGGACCAAAAGATAAATCTATAACCTTCCAATACTATCACAAAATTATATTAGCACCTGAGGGAGATGATGATTCTGACAATAGTTCGGTAGCTTCCTGATACAATGTCTGCCCTGAAGACCTAGGAACCAGTGATGCCTGATGGAATATTGATAGTGATGATGATTATAAGTTACAGGGTGCCGATATCTCTTCCGATTTCAACAATAATGAATCAGAGCCCAACATGAGTTCTTTTCGACCAGATAGAAGAATTCTCTTAGGAGTTAGATATCAAAAGTCTGTGGAACAATGATCATAACAAGCTGGAAAAGTTGCTCATGAGATATTATGATCTCTTTGCATGGACCCCTCAAAATTTAGGCCAAACTAATCTTGTCACCCATTCTATTCATACTAGTAATGCTCTTCCTATTAAACAATGATATTATCATACTTCACCTAAGGAGCGAGAATTCCTATCAGAGAAAATTGATCAAATACTTCAAGATAGAATTATCAAACCTTTCTATAGTCCATGAGCCTCTCCTATCATACTTGTCAAGCAACATGATAAAACCCAATTCTGTATTAATTATCATTGACTTAACGCTATTACAAAGAAAGATATTTATCCTCTTTTTCGAATTGATAATTTGTTAGACACCCTTTGATATTCTTCCTGATATACCTCTCTGGATCTGGCCTCTAGATATTGGCAGATTGAAATGGACCCTACAGATAAAGAGAAAACAGCTTTTATCTCTTAATTCGGAACTTTCAAATTTAATATAATGCTTTTCAGCTTTACTAACACCTTGGCAACATTTTAACGACTCATGGATAGAATTTTTCAAGAAGCTATTGGCAAATTTGTGGTCATCTATTTGGACGATATCAACATTTTCTCTACATTTGACAAACATATCTCGTGTCTTACCAAGGTATTTGATCGACTTTGAGATGCCAGACTTAGATTAAATTTCAAAAAATGCCATTTCACCAAGTTTGGGCTTAAATTCTTTAGCTACGTTATCAACAAAGAAGATATCTCCACAGACCCAAAAAAGGTAGAGGTCATTAAAAATTTTCTTACCCCACCGGCCTTTGCCAACTATGAGGATTCCTGGAACTTGCATCGTACTATCGCCGGTTTATCTAGAATTTTTCTCAAATCGCCACCCTCTTAATCAATTACTAAAAAAGAACATTCTATATACCTGAACCTGGGATCATGAGATAGCATTTGATGATCTCAAAGAAAAACTTATTACCACACTTTTACTGGCTTACTCTGATTTCACAAGGAAATTTCTTCTATTTATGGATGCCTCTAAGGTTGTATTGTGAGCTATACTTGCACAGAAAGACCCCAAGAGAGAGAACTGATGATTCATTATGCCAGTAGGACTATGACCCCAGCTAAAAAAATTATTCTGTGACTGAGCAGGAATGTCTAGC